GGGGTAAAGAAAGTGTCATTTTTATTAGCTAAAACGAGAAAAGTAATCGTCGACGAATGTAAGAACTAAAATGGCGTACCTGAAAGTTTAGAAGTATCACGAGATAAGAAAATTACTGTTGGTGATATTCGGGTGGAAATAAGGAGAACGATATTTTAGAGGATAAAAAACGAAATTAAGAATATCTTTTTATATTTCACGGAATATAATGTTCCCTTTTGTCCCTCCCTTCCTCCCTTTTCTTTTTTTCTTTTTATTTTTGATAAGTGACTACGTATGAGTGTGTGTTTAACACGATTGCATATCTATGAAGGCAGCAGAGAAAACGAAATTTCTATCATGTATGCAAATTGAAATTTATGTTTGAAGCATCGCGTAAACGCGTACACATAATATATATATATATGTATATATGGATGAATATACACCCACACACAAGCAGCAAAAATGCACATAGCGTTGCGTTAAGACCAAGCTTCGGCGTTGGTTACGTTGCGGTAAGAGAATAAGCACCTGCGTCAATGAATCCGACCTAGTTGCCGAACGACGCCCTACGACGTTCTATAACGCCCTACGACAACGAAGATTCGATATTTTTCATCTCTGATAAAAAAACCTTTCCAAATATTTACCTTTACTTATGACAAATACAACAACCACTGACATTAAAACTCAAACTCCCTCAATTCTTCTCCATAATACTTTTAACGTTGATTTTTTATTTCACTAAACTTATTTTTCTTATTTCATCGATCAATCTTATCGAATCTTGAAACGAATGTTTTGTTCGTTTTTCTTTTTTGTATAAAAATAGAGAAGAGAAAATTTTTAATATCTTTGAAAGCTTTATAATATTTTTAGTCTTATTCTTTGTAATATTCGCTTGTAACTTGAATGAATGTTGCAAGTCTAAGAGATTTTATAATACAGTGGTTTTTTCTTTTTCCTTTTTTTTCTTAATAAATTTTCCAGGACTCACGTTAGGTACTAAAATTCATTATTTTAAAGATATTTTGTCTATTGTTGTATTTGGCAAACTTCAAAAACAAAACAAAAGTGAAACAAAAAGGAAAACGGAACAGTTTGATAAAAATGTTCAAATTGGTTTCGAAGAAAAATTAGTCGACGTCGTTTTCACGTTTCTTTTTCACATAGGACGACGACGACGACGAGGAAGACGACGTTGTCCGAGACATTTCGCGTTCGAAAACGTCGCACAAACTCGAAAAGAAAACGATGGAAAAACTAAGTACAACCCTTGAAAGTCCGTAACCAGGGGTAGGTTTTTTCTCTAGTTTTTAAGCCGGCGTGTCGATTTCTAGACGAAGTCTTTCACGTTTCTTCTCTTTCTTTTTTTTATTTTTTCCCCACCCCTATTTTTTTTCTTTTTTCTGCTTCACTCCTTCCGTCCCTCCCCCTTTTCCTTCTCCTCTTCCTCCTCCTCCTTCTCGTACAACCCTGTTTCCTTTTCTCCCCTTCTCTGTTTTGTTTCCTTTCCTTTTTGCGAATTTTCTGAAAGAAATTTCTCTTCCCTCGAACGACCCATTTGCACGAATTGTGGAGAGCTTTTAAGAGAAAGAGACGAACTGTTTATGAATGGTTTCAAAAAGAGAGAGAGAGAGAGAGAGAGTTAAAGAAAAAGATAAAGAAAAAGAAGAAGAAAATGGGGAAGAAGGAAAAGAAAACCGGACGACGAAATGCGGTTAAAGGATCAACTATGAGATTTTACGCTTAATGACGCTAATCAAACGATTCTACAGTAAAAATGAAGACACCGTGTTGACCGGTTATACTTTTTATTATTATTATTATTATTATTATTATTATTATTATTATTATTATTATTATTATTATTATTATTATATTTCTTTTTTCTCGTTTTTTTTTTTTTAGTCATGAGAAAGTGCACAAATTTACAAACAACATATTTGTATTTTTTTAAATCTTTCTTCGTTTCAATATTTTTGATAAATTTTAATAACGAGACTCGATTTCGTGTTTGCAGGTCGAGTTGACTTGAGTGAAATTGAAGATTTATATGATCGAAAATGATCATAGTTTCTTTTTTTTTAATAGTAAATATGAAATAACGCGCAATATGTGAGTCGTTTAGAAGCCAATGTGGTTAAGTCGAGAAAATAAAAATTGCAAAAATTATTGCTTTGTAATATATGGGTTTTTATAACTTGTGATTTTTTAATTTGATCAGAAAAGTATATTTAGTTGTTGGTTTTCTTTTTTTTTTTTTGCAAAGGGTAGATTCTGGAATCAAACAAGCTATGTATAGGATGTACAAATAAGAACATAAGTATTTTTAAAAATTTGAAAACTTTCACCCTTTTGTAACTAAAAAAGATAGAGAAACATATAAACCAAGTAATGAGTAAATCATTTTAATAATTAAACAGAGAATATTTAATTATTTCATTAAAATGAACAGAAATTAGAAAATATCATAAAATAATTTTGTTTCTTGGGTTTTAAGCGACTCATATAAGAATAATAATAATTAATATAATAACAATAATGTAACCTATTAAACGTTAAACGAGACGTAATTCAGGTTGAGCTTAGACGATCGTTAAGAGTTGAATGCAAAATGGTGCGTACGAATGATCATCGATTGCCGTTTTATTTTTGCGGTCGAACATGCGATATTTTACGGCGAGCTGATCAAGAGACCGACCGAACGAATGAACGAATGAACGAATGAACGAACGAACGAAAGGTTTTCCTCTCTCTTTCATTCGTGGCTCATTGCTCTCCCTTACTGAAAAATGAACTATAATACTACTACTGGCTTCTGTTACGCATTTTATGTCTTACGAACCGTGACATTTACCGGATCTTTCTTATTCTTGGAAAAAAATACACGTGATCGAAAATAAATCATGTGATTTAGAGCAAACGAGTTGTGACATTGTGTTTCGAATGATTTTCTTGTCAAATTTTCTATCTTCTCAAATTTGTCATTTATCTTTTTGCGAAACAATTTCGATCCAAATCTCATGGAATTTATTTTTCATTGAGAAAAAAAAAAGATTTTTAAGACCACAATTAAAAAAAAAAAAAAACAAAGAAAATAGAATAAATTGAAGAAAAAAAAAATAAAATAGGGTTTATCGTTTTACGGGATAATAATATTGAGCTAAAAATATGAAAGCAGTTTCGAAGACTCTTTCTCCCCCATCTCTCTCTCTCTCTTTCTCTTTTTTTTTTCTTAGCTCTGGAAAAACGAACCTATTTCTTACGTCTTTTTTCTCTTGCGGCAACAAAATTCATACATACGTGGCATATATATACATGTGTATGTACATAAAACAACATATCGGCAACAGAACGTATATATATATATAGAGTGTTTCAAAATACCTAGATATAATTTCAAAAGGATCTTTCTGTACACTAAACTAAGAAAGAGTGTTCTTACAACCATATGATCAATATGACACCTTGTTTCCAAATAATGACCATTTATTTTTATCTTCTTGTAATTCAAATAACTTTACTGATTACTTGCTTTAATTAATTACAAGTAAGCTTTTTATATCTATCACATTGTCGGTAAATTTCAAATGACAGCCGGTACATTTGAACGAGTAAAAAAAAATCATTTGGAAACCTGCATTGAAGTTGGACAGTTGTCTCTTCTAACGAAAAATGAGATATTATTTGGAAACGATGTGTCACAACGACCATACGTTTTCTTTTCTTATTTAAGCGTATTAAAATCAGCCCTGAAATTATGTCTACATATTCGGAAACAAATTGTGTATGATTATTTGTCTAATAATGAATAGAAGCTTGTAACGCCACATGCCTGCGTATATGCTAGAATGCTAAACTTCTTTAACAATAATAACAATAATAGTAATGATAATAACGGGCAGAATGGTTTATTAGGGTTGGGTATTTTGTCGTAGCAGAATCTAATGTAAAAAAAAAAAAGGATGAACATATCTACGCTTGTAAAATTATGTAAATTAGTAGAAACAAGGATTGTACAATTGTGGTAATAATTAACTCTAATAGTTAACAGTGCACCCGCTAAATAAAAAAATTACTAAAATATCGAAATATTTAGATAGAGTGGCAGAGGTTATTGTTGCAAAAGGGTTTGATAGAGTAGCTGAGGAATTTATATTTAACACTAGATTGCCCAAGGCAGTCATTTTGACTGTTTTTTATTTTCAATTAGAAAAACAATTATGTATATAATGACACAATTTCTTAGAATTAATAATAATTAATTAATTAATATTGTTAATATTTACTAATAACTTGTTGTATAACTGTAAATAATATAAGAAATATTAAAAATTAATTTTAAACAAATTTGTTTACACATTAGTTATTTTTTCACAATGCAGTCATTTTGACTGTTTTTGGGCAATATAGCTATACAAGAAATCTCGGGCAATCTAGTGTTAATAGGACAAGCTAGTTCAGGTCAATAACTTGCTGTTTAAGGGGTTAATGGTTGCATCTCAAAAGAGATCTCAAACAAACCTATTACAATTTGCTAATTATATTCTTGTTGTGCCTACGTGTTGGTACATGTCTTATAATGAATAATCAAGGGTCGCGAAGAGGATAAAAAAAATATAAAAATAAACAACAAGAAGAAGAGTAAAGGAAGAGCAAAAAAACAAAATACAAGTGAAAGGGACACCCGCCAAGAAAGTCAATAATTTCTGTTGGATTTTGTTTCCATTTCTGTTATTTCTATTGTTTTTGTTTGTACTATTAGTTACCTTTGTCTAGTATTGTCTGTTTAGCTTGTTCCGTTTGTTTGTTTGTTTGTTTGTTTGTTGTTCGTTCGCGAGACGAACTTTACGACGAGAGAACAAACGTTCGTTTGTGAGAGAAACGGTCTTTAAAAAATCAAGACTCGTTGTTTTTGTTGTTGTTATTGTTGTTTGTTTAAGAGGATTTTTGTATCTGTTTGCTCATTTGTTGTTATTGTTGCTTTTTTGAATATTGGTCTTGTGCATACTTACCATCTTGATGTCACTAATTGTCGCGATGCTTCGCACAAACAGGTTTACCCGGACAATGGCCGGCCCATCTAAGGGCAAAAACAATAAAACAGACCCCCTTTTAGTGTCAATCGGTTCTCCCATTTTCTTTCTTTCTATATTTTTTTGTCTTTTTTTTCTAAATTAAAATATTATACTTTATTATTTGATATATTATTTAATATTTTGCTTGTCGGTTAATTTGTTCGTTAGTTTGTTTAATTTAGGTTAGGTTTCTAAGCTTTGTTCTCTGTTGTCGTTAAATGGACTTTTCTTTGTTAAAAAAAATAATGAAAAATAAAAAAAATAAAAAATATAAAAAAAAATGATTCATTTATTCTTCTTTCACTTGACTCGCAAAAATCCTCGCGCGAACGACCCCGAAGAAGGATGTTTCTCTGTCGAAGGTCTTTTTTTTTGTTTCCTATGTGCACTTAGGAATCCTTCCTTCCTACCTTTCTTATCCCTTCAATCTCTTTTTCGTTAGTTTTAAAATTGCAAATACCTACGTAATTTCTCTTTTCCTACAAACATAAAACATACGTGCTTGTATATACTAATGGACGTACATACAAAAACAAAAAAAAAAGAAAAGAAGAAAAAGATCGCGAAAAAGTCTCTCAGTGGCTTTTATTATTTTCTTTTGTGTGTGTAGGTTTTTTTTTTTGTTGTTTTTTTATAAGCGGCGAGTACAAACGCCTTGAAATGTATGTCCCGGATAAAAAGAAAATCAAAGAACACAAACGCACACCCACACATAAAAAATAATAAAAATAACAAAATAGAAGAGAATAAATGTACAAACCCATGGTAAATATTATGTTTATACAGAAATAATAAATAAATAATGTTAAATACTATTATACAAATATTGTTGCATAATAATAATATTATTATAGTAATCCCGTACTCTCCTGTAAATTTACACCTTAATGTAGTCAAAATAAATTCTGTACTGTACGTCCCATCAATTTAAAAGTCTTCAAAATTTGACAAATTTTCTATTTATTATATTTTTTTTTTTTGGTCATATCCTGCCATAACCTATCTTCATGCGAATTTATAAAAGAAAACGGGTCAGGCGGTCACAAGGGAACCCAATGACGTAGATATCCCGAGTAGTACTTGGAATTCTCTCGTATCGGCAGATTAACCCATTGGATTCGACATTAATTAGAAGGATAGAGGAGAAAAAAGCCCTTTTTTGCTTTTTTTTTCTTCCTTTTCTTTCTTTTTATTTCTTCCCTTCCTCCTCCTCCATCATTTTCTCTTCATCGTATAATACCGCACGAGATCGTAGGGATGAGAAAAAAATTTGTTCGAGTGTTCCGTGTTCTATTTTTACGCAATTGTAAATGCACGTACGACGACAAACCGATTTTTTCGAATATAAGAAAAAATTTTACAACAACACAACAACGATAATAAACAATAATAATAATAATAAGAAAAAAAATGTCGTCGTCGACATCATCGTCGTAATATCGTTTAAATTTACTTCAATTTTTTTTGTCTTCCCCTCTTCTTTTTCATCCTTTTTTTTTCTTTCTTTTTTTTTGTTCCTTCATTTTTCTACCTTATCTTTCTCTTTTATTACCATTTAATGCTACGATATTAAAAAACCCGAAGGCATGAACGTCGATAAATGACCTCCATCCTACTTTCTAATTAGTAGCCAAGTAAAATACACGTGTTATGTTTTTTTTTCTTCTGTCTTCTTTTCTTTAATTACTTTTTTTTTCTCTTCCTTCTTCCATCATCTCCGACGAGATCACTTGGAACAAAAAAAAAGAGAGAAAAAAACAATATATGTAAAAAAGGAATTGAAACGGAAGAAAACATACGTTGAAAGTGTGACGACCCTTTTTTTCTAACCCCTCGATGATTTTTTTTATATTAACTATAGATATACGAGATATAAACGATAAACAAATAGATCAAAGGCCATATTATTTGTATTTTTTTATTGATTAATATTCAGAAAATGCGAGAACACATTTGTCTATACGTTCTTTTAATATCAAATTTATCAGATTTTTCATTATTCGTAATTTCATAAAATAACAAAAATATATAACTTTATAACTCACCCTAATTTTTATCCGAATATCCAAGTTTAATTAATTCTCATCTAAATTGTAAAAAATCAAACGCAATTATTAACACGCATGATAAAACGCTTTCACCAAAATGGCCGACAAGTGAATTACGTATAAGAACGTTTTTAAAAATGTCATTTTCCTTTTCAAACTAATGATAATTCAATTTTAAATTATCGCCAAAAATTGACAAATGAGAAAACGATTGTGATTATTTGAACGAATGTTTTAACATCGTTTGAATAAAATCACTAAAAATATGAATGAAAATGCGTATGGGAAAAATACGATGGGGTTTAGGAAAACGTGAGCCTCTTTACACGTTATAGGGTTTGTTAAAAAGACAGAGAAAGAGAGAGAGAAAGAGAGAAAGAGAGAAAGAGAGAGAGAGTGAGAAAGAGAAAGAGAGAGAAAGAGAGAGAGAGAGAGAGAAAAGAAGAAGATGGGAGAAGAGTGGAAGGGGGGGGGGAAGAGGAGCAAGCCCGCGGAAACGTAACCTTTTTGAAATATTTACGAAATATAAACGGACGGAAAAGGTCGAGAGAGTATAAGACCTTTGCCTTTCATATCGTATTTGGCACGCTGCCTAATGCTTTATAAAACGATCTTTCTACTTTTACGTCATTTCTCATAAACCACCGGGTACGTATGTTGTCTACGTAGTTATGTATACGCGTGTACGTACATTTGTATGTATGTTTGTATCTATGTATGTATGTATGTGTGTGTGTGTGTGTGTGTGTATGTATGCATATATGCGTTTTAGTTTGTGAGTCTATTTCTTCCTTGTGTTTCGCTTTCCACCTACGGGGTTGATTTTTTTATTTTCCTTTTTTGTTTTTTGGTAGATTTCTAAGGGACGAAGGGGATACATGTATGTATATATATTAATCATATATATGGCACATGTTTGGATTATATTAGATAAACAAAGTTCTACGGACATTATGCGCGCTCTCGTCCGTTCTATTTTTTCCCCCAATTTTTCTATATGTAGGAGTATATATATATGTGTATGTGTATATGTATGGATGTATATTTGTAATACGCGGATGACAAGATTTTCTCGTTTAGCTCCTAAATAATCTAAATATTTTCTCTCTTTATTTTTCCTTCGTTCCTTCAAATCGTGCCAAAGAAAATATAATATCTTTCTCGTTTTTTTTTGTCTTTTCAAAATAATTATTATTAAATGTATAAAATCGTTAATTTAAAATTAAAGTAAATTAAGATACGATTGAATAGAAATTGCAATGGTTTATAACACTAAGGAAATTCAAAATAATATATAATCAACAACAAGAATTTCTATTGTATAAATGTGTTAAATAAATTCATCAACAATTGATCTTAATTAAATTAAACAAAATCGAAGATATTTATTTGAGCGTGAATTGTATAACGTTCACCAAAATGGTCAAGGCGCGAATAACGTATCAAAACGTTCTCGTAAACGTTCGAAAGTAATCGCAACCCTGACGATAATAATCACTGTCCAAGTAATAACAAAAACCATTAATCAACGAACAAATAAATTATGTTTCAAATCAATCCTTAAATACGTGAAGAAAAATTCCAATTTCAATACGTAAATTAAAAAAAATTAAACAGCATATACTTAAAACAATTTTAAATTAACTATAAGAAAAGAAAAAAAAACAATAAATAAAAATTTATCCTAACGTGTTGGTCGGTTGGACGTACGCGGATGAGTTGAAAAGTTTAATTTAAGAAAAAAAAAAAATAAAAAAAAATATTTATTTGGTACTTTTCAAATTGTTTTTACGTTAGACTTAAAAAAAAAATAATTTTTATCTTAAGCTCAAAACTTTTCAACCCACCCATGTAGATTCGTCTAATTGCACACATCTTTCTCTCTCTTTCTCTCTCTCTCTCTCTTTCTTCTCTATTTTTTTTGTGTTCCTTTTATTTCTACACCCGAGCTGAAAATTCCGATTCGTAGTTGTATGCGCGAGGGCACTAAAAAACACTATGTCGAAAAGATCGTTGTAAGAGATAATAAATGATATAATCGCGAAAGGAAGCGAAAGGGCTTAAGTAAGGGGCGGCGGCTTCATTGCATTGATAACACAGATAAGGGGTAACAACCATGGTTCTCTGGTGCTGCTGCTGCTACTGCTGCTGCTGCTACTGCTGCTGTTCGTTCCATCACTCCCTCGAGATTTAACCCCGCAATTTTCTGAAAGACTGTTTGATGTTCTTTTCGCACAAACCCTATCTACGTGGGTACACGTAGCTAGGATTACGAAGGGTTATATAAAGTGCTCCTCTCCCTCTTGTTAAGAAAAAAAAGAAGAAAAAGAAGAAGAAAAAAAAGCGAGAAGAGTAAAATAGTGGGAGAATGAGAAGAAAAAGAAGAAGAAGAAGAAGAAAAAGTAGTAGTACAAGAAGATGAAGAAAACCGAAAGGAAAAGCAACCTCTTCTATTTCTCTTTCCCACCGATTATTCTCTTTCTTTTTGGGTTAAAACGAGCTAGAAATCCTCGTTCGAGGAATTTTCTCCAAACGTGAAATGTGGATACATTCGATGAGGTTATTTTTGGAGGAACCTTTAGAACAAATAGAAAAATAATGGAAGTGAAAAGTAAAATAATAGTGAGTTAGAAAATGGATTCATTCTTTTCTACGGATTCGTTTACGTAATATCTTGGAGTAGTATTATATTATACATATATAGTATATATACATATACCTAGAACGTTAGAAGCAATTAAGAAGTTCTATTTCCTCTTAAACCTGCATCGAGCAGACAATCAACGTGAATTTGTTGGTATCGTCCTCGGGAATTAGAAAGTCGTGATAAGATGAAGAGAGACATTAGATTGGAAGACAAATCGGATCGGTTCCGATGTGTCTGACGTTATGCTCCATGTCGTTCTAATCGGGAAATGGGAAATGGAAAATGGGAAAATTGCTAACCGAATTTCCAC